AACCACCACTTTTGCATCCGACCATTCACACGCACTGGGGCGCAGCTCCTGCATCACCGCCCCCTGGGTGGAGCATCCTGTCTCTGTCCCTGCTCGGTTCCTGACCCTCTGAAGTCTGTCCTGAAGCGAAGGCTGGCCTTTGGATCTCAAATGGCCGAGGAGTCTAACACGGCGTGAGTTCCATTCCAGACCTGACAGGTGACTCAGGGGCAAGGTCTCGGGGGTGCCACCCGCCTCCGCGGGATCAGTAAGGTTGGCCTCTTTTAGGATTTGGCAGTTTCATCCACATCACACACTCCCCCCACCCCCTTCAAGACCTAATGGGATCCTGTTCAGAGCAGTTTCCATGAACTTTTTTTTTTTTTTAACATTTTATTAGGGGCTCATACAACTGTTATCGCAATCCACACACACATCAATTGTGTAAATCCATGAACTTTTTAACGCCCCCTTGTGCATATGCATACACAGTACACCCATTTATGATTTTTCCCTACAGCAAGCTTGCAGTGGGTTGGGCCACGAAGCTGCCAAGTCAGTGGTTCAAACCCACCAGCTGCCCCGCGGAGCAAAGATGAGGCTTCAGTACAGAAGCCCTCCTGGGGGTTGCTGAGTTGGTACCTCTGGGACTAGGTTTTAGCGGAAACAAAGCTTGCATAATAAAAGCCCCAGGAGCCGCTGGCCAGGTGGGCGGCACTCACCATGGCGATGCTGATGGCATCTTCGTACTCCCTGATGAGCACACTCACCAGGGCAGAGCCCAGCAGCAGCAGGATCAGGGGGCTCTTGAACTGGAAAGGAAGCAGAGGGATGGGGTTGAGGCACCTCCCGGGAGGCTATGACTGCTGTCTTTGTGGCGCACACAGTTAAGCAGCCAGCTGCTGATGCCAACCCACCCAAAGGTGCTTCGGAAGAAAGTCCTGGAGATCTGCCTCTGAGAGGCCACAGCACCGAAGACGCCCAGGGACTCATGCCCACCTGAACCAGGTAGCTAGGCATCAGTCAACCCGACAGGCAGGGCTTTGATTTTACCGGATTTTGCGTGACTTGGTCATGCACCCCAGGCCAATCTTCCAGAGAGACCGAGGGCCGAGGTGACAATGACAGCCTCTCCATGGGTCTCGGACCCGCCCGGGAGCCCCTCACTGTGGCTTCATTAGCAGTGGCCACCCAAGGCTGCTGGTGATGCACCCCGGAAACACACATGGCCCTCCCCCAACACCAGCCCAGGCTCATCTTTGGGCAGCTGGGTTTGTCTCACACCCGATTGTCCCACAGGTCAGGACCTGTCCCTTTTGGCAGGATGCCAGTCCTGCTCCCACACAGCCAAGGGGTGCCCTCTCATCCCCCCAAGTATCCCGATCCTGCATGTCCCCCGTGTCCAGCCCAGGCACCACCCTGCTCATGCTAATAGCCACCCAGTGTTCCAGCTGTGTCAACTGCTCTGAAAATGTCCAGAAAAGGATTTCTGTTTCATCGTTGATCTGCCCCCTCTCCTCACAGCTACGACCGTCCCTGGTGGCTCATGTTACAGACACAGCAGGAAGGAGACACAGGCCTTATGAAAAATCCAAGCAAGGAGACGGAGGACCAGGATCAGGGAGATGGCCAGAATGTGAGCCAGTAGGGTGTGGTCCTTAAAACAGGGCTGCCTGTGTGGCTCTGAGCTTCCCAGCAGCTAGAGCAAAAGGGGAAAGTGGATCAGAGGCGTGATTCACAGTGCTCATGAACAGAAGTCCTGCAGGCTGCCCCCACGCTGCCTGCCACTGGGAAGTGCTCTGTGGTCACCACCCACACAGCCCCGACCTCACCACCATAGTGGTTCTCAGTCCTCCAGACCAAGGAGGTCAGAGCCAAGTTGCCTCCCCAGCAGACCACCTTAAAGACACTCAAGTTTTCCTGTGGTTGTTACTGTCTTCTCTGGTAGCGCGCCACCTTGCCAAGGGCAGACACCACCTGTCCTGCTGTCCACTAATCAAGAAAGCCCTGAGCCAATCAGAAGACTGCTGACGTGAGAGCCTTGCCTACACCCCCTCCCCCAGCCAGGGACTCAGGAGGGGTGATGCTCATAGTGGGGGAAGGGGTGGTACTGCAGAGGGCGGGGGAAACCGAGGCATTGTCAGGCTTCTGGAACATTCTCCCCATTAAGTGGAGCGTTCTGATCTGGTAAGGGGTGGGAAGTAGGGGTGTTGACTCTCAGATGAGAACTTGCGGGCACTTCCATGGCAAAGGCTTTAGCCCAGCAGTTCTCAACCTGTGGGTCATGATCCCTTTGGAGGTCGAATGACCCTTTCACAGGGGTTGCCTGATTCATAACAGCAGCAAAATTCCAGTTATGAAGTAGCAACGAAAGTAATTTTATGGTTGGGGGGGTCACAGCAACATGAGGAGCTGTATGAAAGAGTTGCAGCACGAGGAAGGTTGAGAACCCCTGCTCTAGCTCCTTTCCAATGGCGCCCCGGGGCAGACTTCTGCACTTGCCCTTCCGAACCAGTCCACAGGTGTGGCTGTGGCGGGATCCCAGGAAGGAGCCTCCGGGGACAACTTGCCTCCCAGCACTGC